TTTAAATAAAGGAGTGATTTTAAAGTAATTCTGAATTCCCACACGTGGTGGAAAGTAAATAAAAGCCTAAGAAGTATTTTGGTGGAGCCGTTTTGGCTTCTAATAAATATACTTTTGTGACTGACTTTTTAAAATAAAGATTATTATGCACATTTTTAGGAAATCAGCTTTATCCAATCTAAAGAAAGAAGAAAGAAGCCCTATTGTGACACTTCTTGCTTTTGTTTTTTTTTTTTTTTTTTTTTTTAGCTGAGCCATCCTGCCACCTGTTGGCAGCTCAGCTCAGGCCGGGAATCGAACCGCTGTTGCTCAGAGCACACACTCTTGAGCGAGCTCTTAACCAAATGAGCCACTGGGCCAGCCCACTTCTTGCTTTTCTTACCTTGGAATTACCGTTGAAAACTTAGTGTACAATATGGCAATATTTTCTTTTTAAAGCTTTTGAAAATTTTTATGTTTTTTATATTTTATGCTATAATCTACTTTTTCCTTTAGTTGAAACTCAAAGAATTTGACCAGACTTAGAAAGCATTTTGTTTTATCCCTCTATAATTTTAAATAACTTGGATGTCATCAGGACCAGCTTTTAAAATAATGATTTGATTTCCAAGTTGAAAGTATGGAGAATCTTTTAAAATGCTATTCATGTACTGGGAGTGACAGGTAATATACAACCTAGGATTATGAGTGTCATTTTACAACAGTTGAAACTTTCTGCAAGGCATATTTTTGTGTTTAAAAAAGTCTGTTCAGACTTGTAACTTTTACTTTTGTTTTAATTTAGTGTTCTGTTAAAATAATAGATGAAAGTAGATACAGTGAAGTTGTGGTTTTCTTAATCTAATAAATNACAGCATTGTAGATATTGCTGGTATAATCTCAGGTGACTAACACCGAGTCGCTTCATTAAAGTGGTTCAGAGACAAAAGGAGACCTGGGAGTCAGTTTCCTCCATGAACCGAAGCAGTTCCTTCTTCCTTGGTAAGACATTTCTAGGATCAATTCTGAACATATATGAGACCATATGTGCATGGAACACATAACATGTATTCTTGAATATATGTTTTATATTTCATGGAAATTGTTTTATCAGAAAGAGAACTTGAGTTTATCTCCCCCACCTCAACCCTACTACCTTTAATTTTTTTTCCCCCTAAATGCTGTGCTTTGGTTTATAGCCATAGGTTGTTTTCTTTAGAATTAGTATAAATTATACTTCATACTAATTTTTTTCTGAGTTTTTGAAACCTCAATATGTTAGGTTTCGAAGTTACTTCTTAAGACACAGTTGTTTAGTCTTTTGAATTTCCTTGTATTTGGGTAGTTGCTTCATAGAGCTATGAAAGTACCTACTGAATAATAAAAGAGAATATAATATTTGGCAAATTAAAAAATAAGAATAAAATATTTTTCTAAATTTCTCTTCTGAAATATCAATATCTATGTTCTTCAACTGTCCCTATGCTTCTACAGGGGAAACTGAAATACTTTGAAAGCTTATTGAAAAGTGAGAGTAAACAATTTAGCTTTGTTTTAAGCATCTTTACAAAGATGAGAGGAGCCTGTCTGATCCTTGCTAGACCTTGTTAATTGCTTCTTTAACAAAGCAGTAAGATGAATATTAAGAGCTCTAAAGGATACTTTTCTCCTATAAACGTCATATGTGTATTCTTTTTACGTAAGATAACATTAAAGGATTATCAAATATTGCATGCACTAGTTTCTCAGCTCTTTACTATTGTGATTTCCCCCAATTTGTTTCCAAAGTCTGAGCAGTTAACTCCTTCTTAGCAAGAGTGGTAAGATGAGAGTTTTGCCTGTAGATTTGACTGCTACAGTTTTTCTTTTCTGTGCATGTAGTGGCAAGCTTTCTGTATTTTTGATAAATATATGGCAAGATAATATCAATTTAAGTTACCAAGTAACATTTGCACATTTTCTGAAAGAAGATAAGCAGTGCTCACACCTGGGAATATTTTGGTTGTTGCCATTTCCTTGGTGGTTGTAACTTTGAACATATGTAAGCTTTACTTCAGGATGAAACAGTGAAAGCTTAGCGGACTCATCCCTTTCTAGGTCCTTTATCCCTGGTCTTTGAGTCTCACCTTACACAAAACTGCTTGATGCTGGCATCTGTGTTGACAGGCCTTAGGGAAGGAGGAGGAAGAGGAGCAGGGAAAGCAAACACTACTCCTGTGGCTGGATTCTAATCTCGGCTGTCTTCTCATTTACTACGTGACCTTAAGTATATGTCTCTCAGAGCCTGATTACCTTGTCGACAGAACCAGGGTCCTCCTTTTGTATGTCATATTGTTATTTGAATCTATGAAGAACATATATGAAAACACTTTTGAAAAGGTAATAATTACTGTATAATTATGAGGTAGTATTATGGTGGTTACATTCATAGGTAGTATTGGTTTAGTACATTTTCAGTTAAGTAGATTTTTGTGAACAGTCTTATAAACCTAAGCACCTCATTTAACATTTACTTTGTGGGATTAGACTCTGAGTTTTAATCAACTTTTAATGAACATGTATTCACACACACATATTGAACACTTTATAATAAGAGCACAAACTAGGGACTATTATGTTTGTAGCTATCTTGTGCTTAACATAATTCTGAACACACAGTAGGTGCTCACTAAATTTTTATTGAATGAATGATTATATAATATACATATATAATTATAANTAACCTGTTGATTCAGAAAACGTAGGTAGCAATGTATTAAAAAAGACTGTAGAACTGGGTCACTGCATCATCATTTTTTTCAGAACTAGCTACACAGTATGGCAAGCATTTCTTAAAGTATGCATGCCCTAATTAATCAAGCCATGTGTCACCCATCTGGTCTGCTGGTCCCTTATGTACTGGAACCTTTTAGGAATCACAGTACAAGCCAGATCTTGTCATGTCAAACAGATTTCCTATTGTTCATGAAGATAAGTCTTAAATTTGAGTCTTGCTGAGCTTCTACAGGAATAGTTTTACAAGGTGAGAAATCAGTATAGTGAGAAATCAATAAGAGCCTGAGACGGAATTAGTTAGACCTGAGTACAAATCCCAGCTCATCTACTTACTAGTTTGGTGAATACCTGGAAGTTATTTAATCTGTTTGTCTTCATTTTCTCATTAGCAAAAGGGGATTCTACTGCTGTCTCATCAGGTTGCTTTGAGGATTAAATGAGGTGGTACACATAGTGTTTAGCGTAGCACTTGGGAAAGAGTACACAGACATTAATTTTCATTAACCTTTTGGGCCGGCCGAGTGGCTCAGTTGGTTAATGCTCGCTCAAGAGTTTGAGCTCTGAGCAATAGCGGTTCGATTCCTGGCCCGAGCTGAGCAGCCGCTGAGCTGCCAACCAGTGGCAGGATGGTTCAACTTAAAAAAAAAAATTTCATTAACCTTTAAGATAATACTATTAGTATTTTTCATTTAGCAATATCTAAGAAATATATTTTAATACAAAATTTCCTATTAAGCTGTGAGAAATAGAAACCATTGTGCTCTACTGACAGTAGCTGGCCATCTTTCGGTTCCCAGGGTAAGGAGAAGAAGAGAGACCTTTTTGGCCCCAGAAATTTTGTGACATTTTTTTTGTATCACAATATAACCCTTGTCATAGGAATATGAAATGTGATGTTTCCAGTCCAGTTCTCAAAGGAATAACTTTAACAAAAATTTAATTAAGTTAATCCCCACCAACAGTGTAGTTTGCAGTTCCCTTCTAGTTCAGCCACTTATTACCATCACTGTAATAACCCATATTTTGAACCAACTATCAGCATTATTAGAAGAGAGAAATGAGCTGCAAATTCTGGCTTTATTTTCATTTTATTAATTCATTGGATATATACTGAGCCCCTTTTCCCAGGGGATGACTGGGTATCACTGGTAAATAAGCATAGTCCCTGCCCTCATGGATGTTAAAACTGAGTGATGGAGTGTATACCCAGAGCTTTTTATCCTTGATCACATGTGGTGATATGCACATCTGACCATTTACCATTTGAAAGCCACCATATGGATCAAGCCCCATATACTTTCTTGGCACTAGGAGTAATGCAAAGAACTTGAATCATCTTCTGTGTCTAATAATAGGTAACAATGAAAATCATAGGACATTTAAGGAGTATGTTTAATTTTATTGTTTCAGGATTTGTAGAAGCACCTTTTAGTCTGATAAAAGAATACAGTCCCCTTAAAAGAAGGCTGAATTAAGAGACCCAGGTCCTGATCCCTGCTAAGTTATTGATTGTTAGTTTAGAAAATGAACCTCCCTAAGCTTCTTTTTCATGATTTGTAAAATGGAGATAAAACCACTTGTGATGCCTACTTTTCAAGGTTCTTATGAAGATCAAATGAAAAGGTGAAGTATAAACAAAGTCTGGAAACAAGTTAAAGACATTAATAATAATTTAAGGGCACTGACTAGATAAGTAGGAAGAAGTAGATGCTAGGAATATTGGTTTTTAAACAGTGTACAAATTAGACAGTGTTTTAATACTGGTTTCTGATGATGTTTCTATTTTTTTCCATTGGAGTCATAGTAGCAACAGGGCAATTACTATGTGCAGCAACTTGCTAGATTGCACATTGTTTGGTTTTTTATTTAGAATATTTCAACTGTTAAAAAATTACATTGCTTTAGATACTTTTGTCCTAAGAATAAGTAATTGCATATGTTTCTTAGAAATACTCTGGATAATGAATGCAAAAATTTACAAATGATCTTATTTAACCGCACATCATAGATTAATTTATTGATTAGTTTTTATTTTTGTGATTTTGTGGTTCCAACATGGATTAGTTTTTAAACCCAAATACTATGATATACAACATAGAAAATCATTATTTGAAAATCTACATTTGCCTAAATCACAGCAATAAATGGGAAACATAGCTTTAAAATTAATTTTTATATGCCATATGCATAGCATAAGTGAAGGTTTTAATTATTGTTTTTTTTAATTCATTCCTATGTGATTTCAGTCTGAATCTAAACTTTATAATGGCTCGGAGAAGGATAGTTCAGCTTCAAGCAAGCTCACAAAAAAAGAATCTCTCAAGGTTAGTTTCCAAAGTCATTTTATAACTAATATTATGCTTTGCATGTGCTTTTGAAAGTAGGCTAATAAGATAAAGAAATAAATGTGTCTCCCTAAAAGAAGAAAAAAAATACACAGACAGGCACACTTAAAAATGTTAATATTTGAATGGCATTCTGGAGTCAACTGAAAAGGCTACTTAATGACT